AGACGAGGGCTCACTATATGTCCCAGGCTGGTCTTGAATTCCTGGCCTCAAGTGATCTGCCCATCTCGGCCTGCCAAAGTGCTGGGATTACGAGCATGAGCCACCGCACCTGGCCTAATTTTTTAAAACATTTTTTTTAATTCAAAAATAAGAAGTATAAACTCAGAAAGCAAATTAGGGAGCAGGACCCTCTATGTCTGACCTACAATGCTTGGCTCAGTGAGGGCTGGAAATGTGGGGTGTGTGGAGAACATTGAGAGAGAAAGTGAATGCTGTGTGAGAGACAAAAGGAAGAAGTCAACAGTAGAAAGAGAAAGAGAAGCTCAGCTGAGAGCGCAGGGAGGTGGTGGAAAGAAGCTAGAGACAGATTTTAGTGCACAGAAAGAAAGAATATCAGCCGGGCGGAGTGGCTCATGCCTGTAATCCCAGCACTTTGGGAGGCCAAAGTGTGTGGATCACAAGATCAGAAGATCGAGACCAGCCTGGCCAACACGGTGAAACCCCATCTCTACTAAAAAGAAGAAAAATCAATAAAAATTAGCCAGGCTTGGTGGCGCATGCCCATAATCCCAGCTACTCAGGAGGCTGAAGCAGGAGAATTGCCTGAACCCAGGAGGTGGAGGTTGCTGTGAGCCGAGATCATGCCACTGCACTCCAGCCTGGCCACAGAGGGAGATTCCATCGAAAAGAAGGAAAGAAAAGGAAGGGCAGGATGGGCAGGGAAGGGAGGGAGGAGGGAAGGAAGGAGAGAAGGAGAGAAGGAAGGAAGGAAAGAAGGAAAGAAGAGAAAAGAAAAGAAAAGAAAACGAAAGAGGGAGGGAGGGAGGGAAGGAAGAAAGGAAAGAATATCGCCTGGATTTTTGCAACAGCCTCCCTGCACCGACCCTTGCCTGTTCACCTGATTGGATCCTCAACACACACAAAAAATCCTTTTAAAATAAGTCAGATCCGCTGGGCATGGTAGCTCACACCTGTAATCCTACACTTTGGGAGGCTGGGGTGGGTGGATCACCTGCGGTCAGGAGTTCGAGAGTAGTCTGGCCAACATGGTGAAACTCTATCTCTACTAAAAATAAAAAATTTGCTCAGTGTGGTGGCGGGCGCCTGTAATCCCAGCCACTCGAGAGGCTGAGACAGGAGAATCGCTTGAACCCAGGAGGTGGAGGTTGCAGTGAGCCGAGATCACACCACTGCACTCCAGCATGGGAGACAGAGCAAGATTCCATCTCAAAAAAAAAAAAAAAGTCAGATCAAGTCACTGCTCAAAATCCTGCAAAGGCTCCCATGCACACAGAATAGAAAAGCCATGGTCCTGACAAGGAACTTCAAGGCTCTATGTGATCTGCCTCTCATGTGGGTCTCAGCTCACCCTCTTTATCCCGGCCACATGACTCTTTGCTGTGCCTCAATCCCATCCTTCCTCAACAGCCCTGCTGCTACCTCAGGGCCTTTGCACAGCTGGCCCCTCGGCCTGGAATGTCCTCCGCTACGCCCGATAATTTTCAGGCCTCACTCCCTCATCTCCTTGAAGTTCCTGCTCAATGTGTCCCGAATGTGACCTACTCTGACCAGCCTATTTAAAATTGATAACTTGCCCAGACACAGTGACTCAACACCTGTAATCCCAGCACTTGGGGAGGCCGAGGTGGGCAGATCACCTGAGGTCAGAAGTTCTGGACCGCCTTGCCAACATGGTGAAACCCCGTCTCTACTAAAAATAAAAAAAATTAGCTGGTCGTGGTGGCACACACCTGTAGTCCCAGTTACTCAGGAGGCTGAGGTAGGAGAATCAATTGAACCTGGGCAGCGGAGGTTGCAGTGAGCCAAGACTGAGCCACTGTACTCCAGCCTGGGTGACAAAGCAAGACTCTGTCTCGAAAAATAAATAAATAAATAATTGATAACTCACGGCTGGGGGCGGTGGCTCATGCCTGTAATCCCGGCACTTTGGGAGGCCAAAGTGGGCAGGTCACTTGAGGTGATCCTCCCATCTCAGCTTCCCAAAGGACTGCGATTATAGGTATGAGCCACTGCACTTGGCTCCAACTTTGTTCAGCTTTTGTTTCCCAATAGCACCGCTCACCTTATCACTGTATTTACTTGTTTTGTTAACGGTCCCCCGCTACCCTGCCCTACTCCTCCTTGTCTGTTTTGTACACTGGTGTATCTCAGGTGCCTAGGACAGCACCTGGCACACTGTAGGCACTCAGTATTTCTTGAATGAATTAAGAATGAAAGGGGCCAGAGGTGATGGCTCATGCCTGTAATCCCAGCACTTTGGGAGGCTGAGGAAGATGGATCACTTGAGGTCAGGAGTTTCAGACCAGCCTGGCCAACATGATGAAACCCAGTCTCTACCAAAACTACACAAATTAGCCAGGTGTGGTGGTATACACCTGCAGTCCCAGCTACTCAGGAGGCTGAGGCAGTAGGAGTGCTTAAACCCCGGAGGCAGAGGTTGCAGTGAGCCAAGATCGTGCCACTCCACTCCAGCTTGAATGACAGAGTAAGACTCTGTCTCAGAAAAAAGAGGAGGAGTTGGAAGAGGAGGACGAGGAGGAGGAAGAGGAACAGGAGGAGGAGGAAAGGTACCAGGGAAAGGAGATGAGCAACTGGCTGTGTTGGGTCTGCTAGGTAGAGCTTGCAGGATGGTGATCAGGGAGGCTGGCTGGGTGCTTGGAATCGGCTTCCTGAGTGAAACGTGAGCTCATAAGAGGCTTGAAGCTGTAGGGGTTCATGCCAGACTGTCCCAGGGCAATTATGGTAAGGTGTGTCACTCAGAAAGTCAAGGGACAGAAGCATGGCTGCTACTCACTGCCTGGGCTAGAGAAGTCGCCCTCAGGCCCCACTCCTGGTTTTCCCGATGGCCCCTTCTTCTGAGTCCACTTGGTCCCGGAGGCAGTTGGGATCCAGGTCCAGCCACAGAGGTCATTTGGAATGTCAAAGCTGCATGTTTGCATCATACAGACTGAGAGGAAAGAAAGAAGGGAAGATATATATTTTTTTCTTTTTTAGAGACAGGGTCTCTGTCACCCAGGCTAGAGTGCAGTAGTGAGATCATAGCTCACTGCAGCTCCAATTCCTGGGCTCAAGCAATCCCCCCACCTCAGCCTCCCAAGTAGCTGGGACTACAGGTGTGCACTACCATGCCCAGCTAATTTTAAAATTTTTTGGCCGGGCACAGTGACTCATGCCTGTAATCTCAGCACTTTGGGAGGCTGAGGTGGGTGGATCAGGTGAAGTCAGGAGTTCTAGACCAGCCTTGCCAACACAGTGAGACACCATCTCCACTAAACAAACACGAATTAGCTGGGCATGGTTGCAGGCACCTATAATCCCAGCTACTTGGGAGGCTGAGGCAAAAGAACCACTTGAACCCGAGACGCGAAGGTTGCAGTGAGCCAAGATCGCGCCACTGTGCTCCAGCCTGGCTGACAAGAGCAAAACTCCATCACAAAAAAAAAAAAAAAAAATATATCTATATATATCTTTTTTTTTTTTTTTTGTAGAGACAAGGGTCTTACTATGTTGCCCAGACTGATCTCAAACTCCTGGCCTCAAGCCATCCTCCCACCTTGGCCCCCTAAGGTGCTGGGATTACAGGCCTGAGCCACTGTGCTGGGCCGAGATCTCTTTTTCTTCAGGCATGGCTGTTTCCAGAGTCAAAGTTGTGGAGGGCGGAGGCAGAGGAAGCAACCAGAATCCTGGCCCATGACCCACTTCTGCCACTCTGGGTTGTGCAAGCGTGGAGAGAAAAGGGTCCGAGGGCAGGTGGGAGGAGGAGGGACAGGGACTCACCGCGGTTGCAGGAGCCCCGGTGGATAGAGAGGGTGTCCAGGGCGATGTCCAGGTAGGCAGTGTTACCCCGTGTTCCTTCAAACATCAGCTGCAAGAGGAGGGTAAGGGGACCCTGGCCCCTAGTTTCCTTCCTGAATTCAGATGGCCTGGCCCCCACAATCCCCTTCTGCCACATCCCCAGCCCCAGATTCCCCAACACCCAGATTCCCCCCAAGGTCCCATGATTTGCCCCTGGCCTTACCCGGGTGGGCAGGGTGAACCCTGCAGGCACAGTGACACTAGTGGGCATCCAGGAGGGTCTCTGCGTGTTCCTGTGTTTCCAGAGCACGTGGGGGCGGTGGCCCTGTTCACCCAAGAGCTGCAGCAGCCTGAGCTGGGCACCCCAAGACAGCCCGAACATGCGGTAGGCGAAGCGCACGCAGAGGGGTCCTTCCTCCCACAGGTTAGGGCTGCGCAGGCGGGCCACTCCGCCCCGGTGAAAGTTGTTCGATTCCATATGCAGATAGCTGCCCTCTGCGGGAGGCAGAGCCCATGACCCTAAGGCCCAGCCACCACCGAGGGCTGCCCCCCATCCACTTCTCTTGCCACCCCTACCTCCCAGCCACCTCCCTGCTCACTGACCCGAGCGCCTCACCTCCATTGGGGTACCCCCCAGGGGGCCCAGTGGTGCCAGCAGGAGAGGGCCCGCTGGCTCGAACCCAGTCTCCATCATCTGCAGACACTTGGGACCAGTCACAGAGGGGTTTGGTGTCATCTTCAAAATCACACTGGGTAAGGACGTCTAGGAAGAATGGGTCACTGAGGTTTCAGAGAGGGCAGGGGCAGGGCCCAGAGTCACATGGGGAGATGGAAGTAGCAAGATTGCTAAGCTTAGAGAAAGGTACCACAAAATTAGCTGGGTGTGGTGGCGCACACCTGTAGTCTCAGCTACTTGGGAGGCTGAGGCAGGAGAATCGCTTGAATCTGGAAGGCAGAGGTTGCAGTGAGCCAAGATCGAGCCACTGACCTCCAACCTGGGCAACAGATTGAGACTCCATCTCAAAAAAAAAAAAAGAGAGAGAGAGAGAAAAGGCCGGGTGCGGTGACACACCTGTAATCCCAGAACTTTGGGAGGCTGAGGCAGGTGGATCACGAGGTCAGGAGTTTGAGAGCAGCCTGGCCAACACAGTGAAATGCCAAGTCTACTAAAAATACAAAAACTAGTGCTCGCTTCGGCAGCATGTATAGTAAAATGAACGACACAGAGATTAGCATGGCCCCTGCACAAGGATGACACGCAAATTCATGAAGCATTCCGTTTTTTTTTAATATATAAAAAATACAAAAATACAAAATTAACCCAGTGTGGTGGTGCACACGCATAATCCCAGCTACTCGGGAGGCTGAGGCAGCAGAATCGCTTGAACCCAGGAGGCGGAGATTGCAGTGAGCCAAGATCATGCCACTGCACTTCAGCCTGGGCAAAAGAGGGAGACTCCGTCTCAAAAAAAAACAAAAGAAAAGAAAACAAAGGCCGGGCGCGGTGGCTCAAGCCTGTAATCCCAGCACTTTGGGAGGCCGAGGCGGGTGGATCACGAGGTCAAGAGATCGAGACCATCCTGGTCAACATGGTGAAACCCCGTCTCTACTAAAAATACAAAAACATTAGCTGGGCATGGTGGCGCGTGCCTGTAATCCCAGCTACTCAGGAGGCTGAGGCAGGAGAATTGCCTGAACCTAGGAGGCGGAGGTTGTGGTGAGCCGAGATCGCGCCATTGCACTCCAGCCTGGGTAACAAGAGTGAAACTCCGTCTCCAAAAAAAAAAAAAAAAAGAAAGAAAGAAAAGAAAACGCTTCGGACTTGGAGTCCAGAACAGAGACTGTTCGTGTTTTGTAGAGACGAGGTCTCACTATGTTGCCCAGGCTGCTCTCAAACTCCTGGCCTCAAGCCATCCTCCCACCTCGGCCTCCCTAAGTGCTGGGATTACAGGTATGAGCCACAGTGCCCGGCCCAGGCAGAGATTTGAAAGATTCTTTTAGGAGAAATCTGGGGCTGGGAGAATGGATGAAATGACAAGGTCAGGGGTCATGAACTGAGGCTGGAGGATTGGACTTGGCCTGGCAGGACCCGTTTTGTAGTTCTGGCTGATGCTCGGAGGGGACTGGAAATGGCGGCTCCTGGGCTAGGAACTCAGGGACTGGCATTCTGGTGGCAGAGCGTGGTTCTGAAGAGGGAGAAGAAATCTTAGCACTCCTGGTCTCCAACTCACCATTGTCCCTAGAGCTGTGAATGACCAGCTTCTGGTCCGGAGGTTTCTCTCTCCTTGGGAGTGGTTGGGAGAAAGCAAAAATGCAACCTTTGTCATTATCAGGAATTATAAGACTCAATGATTTGAAGTTTTCTGAGTGGTCACATAAGGATGACCAGTGTTTATGCAGTGAATGTATGTAACTTGACTTTTTCTCTTTTTCTTTTTTTTTTCCCCAGCACCTAGACTGGAGTGCAGTAGTGCAGTCACAGCTCACTGCAGGCTCAAACCTCTGAACTCCAACAATCCTCCCACCTCCCAAGTAGCTGGGACTACAGGAGCATGCCACCACGCCCAGCTAATTTATTTTTAGTTTTCGTAGAGATGGGGTCTTTCTATGTTGTGCAGGCTAATCTTGAATGCCTGGCCTCATGCGATCCTCCCACCTTGGCCTCCCAGATGGCTGGGATTACAGGTGAGAGCCACTGCGCACAGCCGTCCTATTTTTGTTGTTGAAGTTCTACTTGTTTAAATCCTCCCAAACATAGTGCAGGACATCAAGGCATCCATCATTTTTTTCTTTTGAGACCGAGTTTTGCTCTGGTTGAACAGGCCGGAGTGCAATGATGTGGTCTCAGCTCACTGCAACCTCCGCCACCCAGGTGGTTCAAGTGATTCTCCTGCCTCAGCCTCCCAAGTAGCTGGGATTACAGGCATGAGCTACCATGCCCAGCTACTTTTGTATTTTTAGTAGAGATGGGGTTTCACCACGTTGGTCAGGCTGGTCTTGAACTTCTGACCTCAGGCGATCTGCTCACCTAGGCCTCCCAAAGTGCTGGGTTACTGGCCTGAGCCACCATGCCTGGCTTGACATCCATTATTTCTTTGCTGCCTTGTACTTGAAGTCTCTCTCATCAGCCGGGTCTACCCTGGGTCTTGCCCATTTCCTGAGGGCCTGACCCCCCCATCCTTCCCTCCTAGCCTTAGATCTGTCTTCCAGCTCTACACCTCCTTTGTCCCTCCTCACACTGTAGCCCTGTCCTGCTCCCAGAACCCACTCCTTAATTCCAGGCTCTGGGGCTGTGCAGCTCTCCCCATTCCTGTTCATCAGTCAAGATCAGCCTCTTTCCATCCCACTGGGCTCCCACCTTCCTCTCCAGGTCTTTTTTTCTTTTCTTTTGAGATGGAGTCTCCCTGTGTCTCCAGGCCAGGCTGGAGTGTAGTGGCGCAATCTCAGCTCACTGCAACCTCCATCTCCAGGTTCAAGTGATTCTCCTGCCTTGGCCTCCCAAGTAGCTGGGACTACAGGCACGCACCACCAAGCCCAGCTAATTTTTGTATTTTTTTTTTTTTTTTTTGAGTCAGAGTCTTGTTCTGTCACCCAGGCTGGAGTACCATAGCATGATCTTGGCTCACTCTGCCTTCTGGGTTCAAGCGATTCTCCTGCCTCAGCCTCCCCAGTAGCTGGGATTACAGGTGTGCACCACCACGCCCAGCTATTTTTTGTATTTTTAGTAGAGGCAGGCTTTCACCATGTTGGCCAGGCTAGTCTCAAACTCCTGAGCTCATGGCTGGTCTCAAACTCCTGACCTCGTGATCCGCTTGCCTTGGCCTCCCAAAGTGCTGGGATTACAAGTGTGAACCACCGCGCCTGGCTAATTTTTGTATTTTTCGTAGAGACAGGTTTTCACCATGTTGACCAGGATGTCTCAATCTCTTGACCTCATGATCCGCCTGCCTCGGCCTCCCAAGGTGCTGGGATTGCCACTACGCCTGGCCACTCTCCAGGTCTTTTGTAGTTAGTCTGCTCGCCCCCTCCACTTCTGCCCTTCCATATTCTTTAGAGCCACTCTCAACTTACCCCGGTTTATTATTACCCCCTGGGCCCAGCTTACCTCAGAGGGGCAGGCATGTGGCCCTGGCCCCAGGCAGCCCCCACCAACAGCACCAGAGTCCAGACTGTACGAACCATGAGGAACCTCAGCGGTAGAGGGAAGAGGGAAAGGGAAACCTCAGGGAAGAGGGAAAGGGCACAATCAGGAGCCCAGACCACTTTTATATGCCCCTGACCTCCCTAGATTGGCATCCTTCCAGAGAAACGCAGAAAGCGCTGGGAAATTAAAACTATAACAGCTGAAATTTACCTTCTAGTAGAAGCGTCTTAGATTGAAATCAAGGGAAATGAACTAGAGCAAAGGAAAGAAAAGAGAGAAAGAAAGAAAAAGAAACAGTTTGGAGGATCAATCTAGGGAGTCTAACCTTAAACAAAAGTTCAAAAAAAGAGAACGAAGGAGAAGAAATTATTACTTTAAAAAGAAAAACACACAAGAAAATGTCCAGAACTGAAATATATGAGTCTCTAGATTAAAAAGGTATTTAGGATGGTAAATGCACAGAGACCCACGGAACGACTGGATTTCAGAATATCAGGGGTGAAGAGAAGATCTGAAAACACTTTCAGAAAGAAAATAACAGGTCATATACCAAGGATCAGAAATCAACATGGCACCCGGCTTTTCACTAGCAACCATGGAGTCTCGGAGGCAGTGGAACACTGTCTACAGAATTCCAACAGAAAACCATTTCAAACCTAAAATTCTATAACTGGCAACAATGGCAACTGGAGAGTTAGGTGAAGAAAGGACTCCAAATGGCCGGACATGGTGGCTCACACCTGTAATTACTTGAGGTCAGGAGTTTGAGACCAGCCTGGCCAACATGGTGAAACCCCATCTCTATTAAAAATACAAAAAAGTAGGCAGGCATGGTGGCACATACTCATAATCTCAGCTTCTCAGGAGGCTGAGGCACGAGAATCACTTGAACCTGGTAGGCGGAGGTTGCAGTGAACCGAGATCGTGCCTCTGCACACCAGTCTAGGTGACAGAGACTCCATGAAAAAAAAAAGGAAAGGGAAGGAAAGGAGAAAAGAAAATAAAAAAAGAAAGAAAGGAAAGAAAGAACGAAAGAGCTTTCCCGAGCTTGGAACTTCGTTAGCTGCGATGAGTTTCCTGGCCGCTACATTCCTACTCCTGGTGTTCAGCGCAGCCACTCAGGCCGAACCAGTGCAGTTCAAGGACTGCGGTTCTGTGGATGGAGTTATAAAGGAAGTGAATGTGAGATCATGCCCCACTCAGCCCTGCCAACTGAGCAAAGGACAGTCGTACAGTGTCAATGTCACCTTCACCAGCAATATTCAATCTAAAAGCAGCAAGGCCGTGGTGCATGGCATCCTGATGGACGTCCCAGTTCCCTTTCCCATTCCTGAGTCTGATGGCTGTAAGAGTGGCATTAACTGCGCCATCCAAAAAGACAAGACCTATAGCTACCTGAATAAACTACCAGTGAAAAGTGAATATCCCTCTATAAAACTGGTGGTGGAGTGGTAACTTCAGGATGATAGAAACCAAAGTCTTTTCTGCTGGGAAATCCCAGTACAAATCGTTACTCATCAAGTGCCTCATTGAGTTCAGTGCATCTGGCCAACGAGTCTGCTGACTCTTGACAGCACCTCCAGCTCTGCTGCTTCAACAACAGTGACTTGCTCTCCAATGGTATCCAGTGATTCGTTGAAGAGGAGGTGCTCTGTGGGAGAAACTCAGCTCTGGATGGCTGGTTGTCAGTGGCTGTCTTATGCTTCTTTTTCTATCTTGGGTCGTTTTCATTAAATGCAGCACTTGGTTAACAGATGTTTAATTTTTTTTTTGTTTTGTTTTGTTTTTTTTTTT